AATTATGCTAATTTTGCATGATGTACTTACAGCATAGAAAGCCTGCTGATGGTATGCTTATAGGCAGCAGTTCTCGCAATCCCGTGGGTGATGGCCCTACTTCGCCAAAATACTCTGATAAGCTTTCTCCTGCAATCAACAATTATTTATCTGAGGCATCAAGACAAGAAGTTAGAGTTAGTTATATTATTGTCCTTTTCTTCTGTTGCTCATAAATTGAGAAGTTATTATGTTTGCTAATGGAAGTTCTTAATTTTGTAGATACAGAGAACTGCATGTGCTAAATTATTTTATACATTGTTTGATTGCTCTAATGCAGCCTCAGGGAACTCCTGAAAATGGCTACTTGTGGCAGAGGGTGAATTCTCAGCTAAGCTCCCCAAGCCAGCCATATTCCTTGAGAGAAGCTCTGGCTCAGGCACAATCTTCCAGGATTGGAGCTTCAGCCCAAGCACTTAGAGAATCTTTGCATCCAATTTTGCGACAAAAACTGGTACAGTTGCACCAGAATGTCATGTTCTTCTCAAAAAAAAAGAAAAGAAATTTCCATTATCTATTTGGTCTTGTTCTGGATTTGGTTTAGGCAGCTCATGGTTTTATGCTTGTTTCAGGAGCTTTGGGAAGAAAACTTGAGTGCTGCTGTTAGTCTTCAGGTTTTGGAAATATCTGAGAAATTTTCTTTGATGGCAGCATCCCATAGCATTGCTACTGATTATGCCAAACTTGATTGTTTATCATCTATAATTATGAGCTTCTTTTCCCGAAATCAGCCACTAGCGTTTTGGAAAGCTTTCTTACCTGTCTTCAACCATGTATTTGATCTTCATGGGGCAAAACTAATGGCTAGGGAGAATGATCGTTTCTTAAAACAAGTTGCCTTTCATCTTCTTCGGCTTGCAGTCTTTCGAAATGATAATATTAGGAAAAGAGCTGTTATTGGGCTTCAGATACTTGTTAGGGTAGGCCCTTTGGCATTCGTAAGACTGATGTCTGTTGGCTGCTCCTTCTGTTGTTAAATCTGACATCAATTGTTTCTTCATCCTTGCAGAGTTCATTCTACTTCATGCAGACTGCAAGGTTGAGGGTTATGCTGACTATCACCTTGTCCGAGCTAATGTCTGACATGCAGGTGACTCAGATGAAGTCTGATGGGACACTTGAAGAAAGTGGTGAAGCACGGCGGCTTCGAAAATCTTTGGAGGAAATGGCAGATGAAGTCAAGAGCTCTGGCCTTTTGAAGGAGTGTGGACTTCCTGAGAATGCTCTATTGGTGACTCCAGAAAATTTTGAAGAGAACCGATGGTCCTGGTCAGAAGTAAAATCTCTCTCTGGCAGTCTTCTTCTGGCCCTTGATGCTAGTCTGGAGCATGCACTGTTGGTAAGTCTAAAGGATCTGTTAGATTCTACTGGGGATCGTGGTACTAATTTTATGAAGATTTTTTTTTATCTTTATTATTATTTTTTGTGAGGTACAGAGGGAGTCATTGTGGTTCACATCTTTTATGTGCCTGCAGTTTTCTGTATGGTCTTTATACAATCTTTGTGCTTTAGTAGAATTTTTTCACTTAAAAAGTACAGTTCAACTGTCCAAGACCTGCTATGTCCTTGAAACTAATAGCTGGAATTCTTAAAAATATGTGGTTAAGCATCATGACAGGACCATGCCCCATCTTAAGGTGATAACAGATACCTACTTTGATCTCTTGGTGATAAGGGCCAGGATATTTTCTGCTGTTTTTGATGATGAGACTACAGTTGTTGAGGATGGGGTTGTTTAAACATGAACTCATGCGTATATGGGATTTGGCTGACCTAAAGCAAACACTCCCTTTAAATGATTAAGCTAATTTAATTTAAGATCGATGAAGGTTATGCTTGTTCATGGCTTAAATTTTTGAGTTTGATAGTAGGAACTGCTAACCGGTTCTGTTTCTTTTTCTGCTTGTGATCTGGATGAATAAATGTTGTTCTACTAACATCTAAACATTGACTGCTATTCTGTTGACAGGCCACTGTAATGTCTATGGATAGATACGCAGCGGCAGAAAGCTTTTACAAGCTTGCAATTGCATTTGCCCCTGTCCCAGATCTTCACATAATGTGGTTGCTGCATTTGTGTGATGCACATCAAGAAATGCAGTCTTGGGCTGAAGCTGCACAGTGTGCTGTGGCAGTTGCTGGAGTTGTAATGCAGGTAAGAAAGTCCTAGACACTTGTTTGCATGCAACCTTAAAATTAAGATTCCTAAACAACATGATTACCTAATGTTGCCCATTTTCTCGCATAGGACATTAAATGTCAGGAAATCGTGAATTAACATGTTATAGAAGTGGAATTTTATGAGCCAAAAGCAGGACCTGACTATATTTTTTGATCAATTTTAAAAAATGGTAGGATTATCTACTAAAGTACATAAAACCCATGCTCCAAAAATTTAACAGATAACAAGGAAAAAAAAAAAAAGGCTGCCAAGAAATTAGAAATAAAAATAGTGAAGAAATAAGACTTCCACCTAATTGCAAATTCGCTCATATTTTGCCATCATCTATGAGTTTCTTTGTTGTAGGCCCTTGTTGCTAGAAAGGATGGTGTTTGGAGCAAGGATCATGTGACAGCTTTACGAAAAATTTGTCCTATGGTCAGCAGTGAAATCACATCTGAGGCATCAGCAGCTGAGGTTGAGGGATATGGTGCTTCAAAGCTCACTGTTGACTCTGCTGTTAAGTACCTACAACTTGCAAATAAGCTTTTCTCTCAAGCCGAGCTCTATCATTTCTGTGCTAGCATTTTGGAACTTGTTATTCCAGTTTATAAGAGCAGAAGGGCATATGGACAACTAGCTAAATGTCATACATTGCTCACAAATATCTACGAATCAATCCTTGAGCAGGAGTCAAACCCTATTCCTTTCACTGATGCTACTTACTATAGAGTTGGATTTTATGGTGAGAGATTTGGTAAGCTGGACCGAAAGGAATATGTTTACCGAGAACCCCGTGATGTACGCTTGGGTGACATAATGGAAAAACTTAGTCATATATATGAATCTAGGATGGATGGTAATCATACTTTGCACATTATTCCTGATTCCAGACAAGTGAAGGCAGAGGAGTTGCAGCCTGGAGTCTGTTACCTGCAAATAACAGCTGTTGATCCAGTCATGGAAGATGAAGATTTGGGAAGCAGAAGGGAGAGAATCTTTTCTCTTTCCGCTGGAACTGTCCGTGCACGTGTCTTCGACCGCTTCTTGTTTGATACTCCATTCACAAAAAATGGCAAGACCCAAGGTGGACTGGAAGACCAATGGAAGAGGAGGACTGTTCTTCAGACTGAGGGCTCATTTCCTGCACTAGTCAATAGGCTCTTCGTGATAAAATCTGAATCACTTGAATTTTCCCCGGTTGAGAATGCAATTGGAATGATTGAAACTCGAACAGCTGCCTTAAGAAATGAGCTTGAAGAGCCTCGTAGTTCTGAAGGTGATCAACTGCCGCGTCTCCAGAGCCTGCAGAGGATTCTTCAAGGCAGTGTTGCAGTTCAAGTGAGCTTACCGAATTTTCTATTTGTCTTTCTGTTTCTCGTACATTTTTGTTTTCACTTAAAAGTAATTATCTAGGATATCCATACTTAAAAGCCACCGAACATATGCAGGTGAATAGTGGCGTTCTGAGTGTGTGCACAGCCTTCTTGTCAGGTGAACCTGCCACAAGGTTGCGTTCTCAGGAGCTACAGCAACTTATTGCTGCACTCCTTGAATTTATGGCTGTATGCAAGCGTGCTATTCGGGTACACTTCAGATTAATTGGAGAAGAAGACCAGGATTTCCACACACAACTAGTGAATGGCTTTCAGTCTCTCACAGCAGAGCTATCTCATTACATCCCTGCAATTCTCTCAGAGCTCTGATAATGTTTTTTAGCATTACTTGCTCCATTATTCCTTTCTGGTGCAAGCTGTTCATATAGAATGTGACATACATTCTTTTGTAGATCTGTGCTCTCATGATGATTGTTTATGTATGCAATAACCAATTTGTTTGTGCGCTATGGTAGATTACATATTCAAGCTCTCCTTCCTGCCTAAGTTATTGGGCAAGGCATTTTCGGTTCTAAGTGACCTCTAGATTTTGCTGGTCAGATGAGAGTCAAGTCAGCTCATCTGCGAAATAGATTATACCGCGCTATGTATTGTTGTATTCTAGAGAATTTAAAATGGACCTCTAGAATTGCCCAATTTTTTTTTATTATTATAATCTTACAATTAATTAATTATAATAAAAAATTATGTAAAAGTTTATCACTTGTGTGGTTTTTACATTAATTTTATATAATTTTAAATTGTGATTGGTTAATTATAATGCAGTAATTGTAAGTGATATACTTATAATTTTTATCAAGATATTAACTTAATTAAAATATTATTTTTATATAATTAAATTGTAATTTGTATTAAAAATAATATTTTTATAAATATTATACTAAATTAAATTTGTTAAATTAATTTTGAATCAAGTTATTTTGAATGCTGATTACACATATATTGAGTCGAAATCAGATACAAAAAATAATAATTTAATATTGTGCTTAGATGAAATCAAATAAACTATTATTAAAAAGTAAAAAATTCACCTCTTCGTTGAGATCGTTAAGGTTGATTAGGTTTCATCTAATATTATTGTTAAAAGTAATTATCGCATTCAAAAGTTATTTTTATACGAATATAAAGCTAAACAACAAAAAATTTGCTTCTCAATTTGAAAGTTTGATTTTCTAATTCAAGCAAAAAAAATTAAAAAAAAAATTTTAAAAAAATTTACGATAAAAAAATACATTTGGAATAAAATTATTTTATTTATATTTTAATATTATATATATTTTTTAACATTTTAATTATTAATGACATTTTATTTTTACGATAATATCAAATACTTCAAAGTTTTAATCATTTTTTTATCATAATTTTTAAACTCTTTTTTATCCCAAAACTTTTTCAATCGAATGGTAACGCTAAACTAAAACCTAGTACTAAACTGTCCCGCCGTGTGGTAACTGTTCCAACAGCAGACCACGTTCACCCCAATCGCTTTATATAGAATGACAAAAAAATAAAAAAAAAATAAAAATAAAAATAGAGATCAAATTTCCCGTCTTGGCCAAAAGAAAAAGAGTTTAAATTTCGGGATTGACTCCAGTCAGATCTTCCCCTCGAATTTGCACTTTCACGTTCACTGCAAATCGCGAAATGAATCTTCGATCGCGTAAAAGGATCTCCAATCCCTCTAACAATGGTAAAGCAATTGCGCTCCACTTTTCTTTTTCCATGGTTATTGTTTTCGGGGAAACTCTCTGCCCTTTCTTACTTTACTAATTTCCTCTTTCTTTTTTCTTTTGAAAACTTTGGTGAAGATAAAATTTCGAACACTTAAATTTAATTTTTAGGGTTTTCCGATTAATTTTGCTTTCCAACGCTTACTATTATTGTTTGAAATTTTGGTTAAATTTTGAAACAGAAGAACACAGTGATAGCTCTGACAAAGGCGATGATTTTATCCAGTTGGACGATCTTTCTGACGTAGAAATCTATGTGCCTCCTTCCGACTCTGATCAAGGTACTTACTTTGCTCCGATAATCATATAAGAAATCTATTTCCATTTTTGTTGTTTTTAGATTTATTAGTATTTGTGAATATGCGAAAAACCGAGTTCATGGTTCTTGCTGTAGGAGAAGGGGAGATTTTGGACTTAAATCAAAAACCAATGACAGCCACTGCCGTCTCTCATTTGACACGTGCTCCCATCACCATTTCTGATTTTGCTGAGCCTTCACCAAACAGAGCCAACGGTGAACAGAAATCGAGTGAGCAAAATGAATTCCATTGCGACATTTATGTGTCAAACAGAAAAAAGAGAAATAATGTAAAAAAGAAGAAGAAGAAGACAAGGGCCGGGCCACCGTTGAGGTGGGAAGATTGGGAACAAGAGCATGAGAAATGGATTGATGACAATTTGACGGCAGATATTGATTTGGATCAACAGAATGCAGTAATAGCTGAGACTTTTGAGGCATCATCCGAGTTAATTATTCCTTTGTTGAGGTACCAAAAGGAATGGTTGGCCTGGGCTCTGAAACAGGAAGACTCTGCTACCAAAGGGGGAATCCTTGCAGATGAGATGGGGATGGGGAAGACCATTCAAGCAATAGCGCTTGTCCTTGCCAAACGGGAAATCCTTCATGCAATTGAACCCGATGGATCATTGCTGACCCCAGGTTCATCAACAGATTTGGCCATGATTAAAGGCACCCTTGTTATTTGTCCTGTGGTCGCTGTGAGTCAGTGGGTAAGTGAAATTGATCGGTTTACTTCAAGGGGAAGCACCAAGGTACTGGTTTACCATGGCGCCAATAGAGGGAAAAATATCAAACATTTCTTAGACTATGATTTTGTGATAACAACATATTCTATTGTTGAGGCTGAGTATAGGAAATACATGATGCCTCCAAAGGAGAAATGCCCATACTGTGGGAAGTCATTTCATCAAAAGAAGCTCTCAGTTCACTTGAAATATTACTGTGGGCCTGATGCTGTTAAAACAGAAAAGCAGTCTAAGCAAGAGAGGAAGAAATTGAAATCTATGTTTAAGTCAGATAGAGAACATACTGGTAATTATGAGACTGATAAAAGAAAGGGGGGTAGCAAGAAGAAATCGAAGCACATTGAGGAAGACAAAGGCATAGACTTTGAGTTTGATGAAACTTTTGCAGGCATAGAACATAGCATGCCTCAGGGAAAATCACTTCTCCACTCTGTGAAGTGGGAACGTATTATCTTGGACGAGGTGTGTTCACTTGAGCCATGGAGATAGATTCTGTCTAAAATTAAACTACACAATCATTATAGCATAATTATCTATAAATTAGGAATATATTCAATCTTTTTCTTCATTGGCTCACTAGATTTTGTGTAACATTTTGGAATCAAATAATAGGAGTTTCATCTCAAGATTAATAATCTACATGAATTCCTCATAAAATGTGTTAGACCTTTCTTCCACTGTTGACACCAATTTTAGCTTTCTATAAAGGGAAGAGAAACATAATTATAGCATGAATATTGTTAATTAACAACTATGTTTAATTTTTCCAACATAGGCTCATTTTGTGAAAGATAGACGTTGTAATACTGCAAAGGCTGTTCTTACTTTGGAGTCCTTATACAAATGGGCTCTGAGTGGCACTCCACTTCAGAACCGTGTTGGAGAACTATACTCTTTGGTAAGTACCATTTGTCTAGAAATTGAATTGTAATGTCAAGTTTCTGTTTTGAGCCTAATATGTTTTCTATTGCATTTCCACAGGTTCGCTTCTTGCAAATAGTTCCATACTCCTATTACTTGTGCAAAGATTGTGATTGCAGAACTCTTGATTACAGGTATGGTTGAGATTGAATTCTGAATGTGTTCTTGTTCTGGTTGATTCTGGGTGAATTTCACTGCAAGTCACCAAAGTTATAGCCAATTCCCATTTGGGTCATAGATTTTCAATTTGTACCAATCAAATCACCTAACTTAAAACTTGTATCATAACTGGTCACTCTGTCGATGGCTGCTAAAATTCATTTATGGAATGTTGATGTGGCATCCATGCCAATGCAATGTGGGTCAAGTTGAACCCTTCGTTTTTGTTTTTTTTTTTTTATCTTCTTTATTTCTCTTGAATATTCATACTTTTTCTCCTTTTCTTTTATTTTTAATCATTTTTCTTTTTCTTTTTTTGGCTTTGTCAATTAAATTATTAAAGGGAAGAAAATTTTGGCTAAATATGTAGGCTTGATTATCCCTTATTTGTTCTTCTAACATGTAGCTTCTCTAAAGCCACTGTCTATGATAAAAATTTATATATATGCATATGGTATATTTTCTAAATTTAAACCATAGAGGTTGATTTTCATTGTTCTTCTAAACATGGTCCTTTTGGAAGTTGCTAGTCTATTTTTACATACAGTTTCTTTGTGGCATTTCACAGTCAGTTTAGATACCTGCAGAGGTAGGCCAATGTATGTGATTTTCATGTATAATGTCTCCTTGTTGATGCATCTTAGATAGCAGTGCCATTTTGGTTAGCTTGTATTTTTTCCCTGATGCAATTTTACTTTTGCAACCCAGACTGCTTTTCATTTGATTTTTACTTACAATGTTGTGAATCTGATGATACTTGTGCAGTTCATCAACACAATGTTCAAACTGCCCCCATAATTCTGTGAGGCACTTTTGTTGGTGGAATAAGGTGACTTCTGTGATTCTTTACATTTTCTTTTTTCTTTTTTGTTGGATAAATCATCCAAAGAAGTAGGCAAGCCTACTAAGGCCTCGTTTAGCATTGTTGTTGAAAGTAGCTTTTGCATTCAAAATCTGTTTTGGCCCAAACACAAGGCTAAATATATAAAAAAAAAAAACAACATTTCAGTTTAAGAGCTTTTTTTTTTAACCCATATCAAATATCTCCTTAAGAGGTGTTTTTGCAATGAAAAAGTGCAATTTGGGATAAAAAATTACTTTATTATCCCTGTATTTATAATATTTTATTATTTTATATATATCTTTTTAGACATTTTAATTACTCACAGCACTTTTTCATAGCAATACACAACACTTAAAATTTCTAACCCACTTTTCTCACTATATTTTTTAAACACTCTTTTCAACCCAAACCTTTTTTTAACCGTAACAGCAATGCTAACCTAGCCCTAAATAATGAACAGGCTGCATGTAGCAGTATAACAAGTAAAAACCAACAAGCACAACATCAGCAAAAATAAGCCAACTTGCTAAACAAACATGTTATCTTCTAATCCCCAATTCTGTGCCATCATCCTGTAAATTCTGTCCCCTGCAATCTGAATGTTTACATTTTCATTAGTGTTGGCCCTGATAATATTTTACAGGCATTTTTATTCTGAAATGTCTTTTACATTTTTACTCTGTTAGTATGTGGCTACGCCAATACAACAATATGGAAATGGTGAGATTGGAAAAAGAGCTATGATATTGCTAAAGCACAAAATTTTGAAAAACATTGTCCTAAGACGTACCAAGAAAGGCAGGGCTGCTGATCTTGCTCTTCCCCCTAGAATTGTAAGTGCTCTTGATACATATGTTTGCTTACAGGTGCAGATGCACATGCATATGCACAAATACACACAAATGCACATGTATATGATGGAGTTCTGCTAGTTCTTAAAATTCCTGATATGCTTCTGCTGCCAATACCCTCTTCTGCAGATTTCTTTAAGGCGGGACACCATGGATATTAAAGAAACTGACTACTATGAATCCTTGTACAGTGAAAGTCAGGCACAATTTAACACGTAGGTTTCCTTGTAACTCTTTTAACTTTTGATCATTGAATTGATTGATAGTAGTACCTACAGAAGTACTTTTTCCAGAACTCTTGGTTCAAAAATAGATATTGATTTCTCAGAAATACTTGAAATGTTGTTCAAAAGAAAAGATAAAGGAATCCTAACTGCTCATAGCACCACTGAGCTTTGTTGTCTACTAATTTATTCTGTCTCTAGGGGGTGAGGGGAGGGATACTATTAGTTAGGATTTGTTGGATCATTAATTGTAACAAGCTAGCTTTTTACTGAACCATTGTTTGTCCATTTTAGATCATTCGGTGCCTTATGTTTTGATAGGGGTTTTTTGTTTGGACTTGGATGCTTAATTTGCCTTGAATTTGACTATTTTGTTATGGTACCATCTATCTATTGAGGATATTGGCCATTGCCATTCAATTGCCCATCACATCAAAATCGGGGCTGTTCATTTATTTATTAATGATCTGAAAAATCTAGTTCAAGCTACTCTTTTGTTGTCTTAGGTGTTTAAGCATTGAAGCATGGCTCTTGTTTTATGGTATTATATTTTGCTATTTTCGTTTGGATATTTGGCTAGTAACTTGGAGAAGATGCAGATTCTTTGTTAGAAATGGCTGTAGTTATTCTGCCTCATCTTTGCAGATATGTTCAAGCAGGAACCGTAATGAACAACTATGCTCACATTTTTGACCTCCTCACACGCTTGCGGCAGGTCAGCATATCTGTATCACTTCAATAGATGAAACATTCTTATACTCGGTTTATTTTCAATTTAATTTTTATTGTGTTAATGAAACAGTTAGTATATTGAATCTGATAGTCTAATAAAATTTACATTGTACAGAATGATATGAAAGGGTTATACTCATATAAGTTGATCCTCTCTCTCATGCTCACACATGCAAGAACATATTTTTGACTCAATAGGCCTTTAAAATTCTTTTGAATCATTAAATGTCTTGATAATAAATTGCATATTCTTCAGTTGATAGCATTTTTTTATCTTTTTGCTTGATTATTTACTTGTTCATGAATCCTATTTGTTTGTATTCCAAACTTTATAAGGTGTTGTAATTCTTGTTGGTATTGCCTTCTAAATTTCAGTATGTGTAGTTGTAGCTTAAATATGACTTAATCTTTAAAAGATAGTAGGGAGATATGATGCTTGATATGCATTGCTCTGTATCTTTTTTTTATTGTGAAGGAGTGATATAATATCAATGACGTTTTTGAAGGAGATGTTCTCACCCCGTCAAGGAGTGATACTATCAAAAGGGGTGGTGGAGGATCACTGCTAGGTAGGATCCCTTGGTTCCTGTTTGGCACATCGGGGAGCCCATCCCACTGCACCAGACCTCTAGTGGATAAAAGGGGGTCCAGTGTGGGGTGCACTTCCCTGTTGTTCCAAATGTGCACTTAGTACCAAGCTGGTGGTCGTATCACTGTTAGCTGTATCACTTCTATCACCTGTATCACCCCTTTGTATCACCCATAGCTAACATCTCCTGGAGAATATGACCTCTTTTGAAGAAAATGAAAGGGGAAATGGAAGACAAAGTCGAAATTTGTTTACTGATCTTTTCAATTGATGTTTATAATATCTTGTGCAACATTGTAGGCTGTTGATCACCCTTACCTTGTGGTATATTCGAGTACTACACAAAGAGCTGGAAACATAATAAACTGTGATAAGAATAATGATGAACAAGCATGTGGCATTTGCCATGAGCCTGCAGAAGATCCAGTGGTGGGTTAACCTTTGTGTTTTTTCTTTTTAGTATTTTCAGCCTTTAGTTCTTATTGGCATTAAAATCATGTTACTTTTACAGCACTAATCGACCTATCCATGGTCATGTTTGAGCAAGTCATAAGAATGAGAAGTCAGTGAAGGGATAAGAATAAAATAATTGCTACAAATTGATTCTATTGTATCCCAACGATTTGTACACTCTCCATCTATGTGATAAGAATATCCAATTAAGTGGGAAAGTTTGCAGAATATTTATCTTTCCTTACTTTTGATTTGAAATTTCTGGTTTAATTGTTTCAGGTTACTGCATGTTCACATGTCTTCTGCAAGGCTTGTCTGATTGATTTTTCTGCCTCCTTGGGACAAGTCTCATGCCCATCATGCTCGAGATTACTTACTGTTGATCTGACTACTAATGCAGATGCCGTAGGGCAGTCTAGCAGAACAACACTGAAGGGGTTTAAACCCTCAAGTATTCTAAACAGAATACAACTAAATGATTTTCAGACGAGCACAAAAATAGAGGCTTTGGTATGTCTTATTGGGATTCTTGAACTGCTAAAAGAAGTTGTTAGACAGTTTTGAAGGGGATACTGTCTCTACTATATATGGCTCAACCATCAGTTTGCATTATGTAGAAGAGTTGTTAATGGCTATTATATCTCTCTCATTTACATTTCTTGGCATGACTTTACTGTCTGGTTAAGCAGAAACTTCTTATTAACGTGGTAAAAAAAAATTGACAGCCTTTCAAAAGTTGATTTGGAGTTCCCATTTGGCTTGTCCTTTTGATATAGGAAATTCTTCTGCAAATTCTGATGATTGGCAGTGGCTTTATGTCTAAACTATGTTTTCTTCGAAGTTGCATAGCTGATGTTTTGAACATCAATCTGGTCTGTCTTGTCATGCTTCAGTAGTTCTATATATCACTTCTTAGTTCACACTACTTTTAGAAATTAGAAGTAACTGGCTTTCTTATGTCAAGATAAATGGATGATAACAATTTGAAAGATAAATGAAAGGAATAGGTAATACTATATTCAATGGCATGTTTGATGCATAGTAGTAAAGTGTCTTGGTCTGATCCTATAAACTGATTTAAGACACTGTTTCAAACTTTAGAAGACATGCAGTATTATTATTGCTGTTGTTATTTACAGTTTATTGTTATTAATCTTTATTGTGACTATGATCATTACTATGAGTGGACAGCAAATTTGCCTGTATTGCATGGCATATCCATATTGTTTATTGTTCTATGTCTTGGTTCTCTATGCTAACAGAGTTTGCATGGTTTTAGAGGGAAGAAATCAGATTCATGGTGGAAAGAGATGGTTCTGCCAAAGCAATTGTTTTCAGCCAATTCACTTCTTTCTTGGATCTCATAAATTACTCCCTCCATCAGGTTTCTAAAATAAGAAAGAAAAAAACTCTATTTTAGTTCTTCTGCTAGTGAAAAAGATTACAGTATAATACAATGGCCTGTTTTGCAGTCCGGCATAAACTGTGTTCAACTAGTAGGGAGTATGTCCATGGCTGCAAGAGACTATGCTATCAAGAGATTTACTGAAGATCCTGATTGCAAGATATTTCTCATGAGTCTGAAAGCTGGAGGTGTTGCTCTCAATCTCACAGTTGCATCACATGTAAGCTATATCTAATCTTATGGTCATTCAGTTTAGTCTCGGGTATTTGTTGGGATCCATTTGCAAATATGATTTATGCCATCGCCTTTTATCCTTTTTTCGTTTTCTTGAATATGGTCTAAAATGAATACTAGGTAGTGTTGCTTGAAATTCTGTTAAGTTACTTAGGCTTCTTTTTATAAATGCTTTTGTTTTTTGACAAAAAATGAATGGAAAGACAAAAGAAAGAAAAAATGCAATAGATGAAAGTAAAAGCATTTACCAAATGGTCTCTTTATAAATTATATCATCTCAAATCTTCATGGTAATATCCTTTGTTCCATACAAGTAATCTTACTTACACCATCTATGAACAAGAAAATTGACTAGGGCACTTTTCTGTCAAAATTTATTTGACAATCAGATGTCTTTGTTATTTGAATTATTTAAAATGGGTCATTTTCTGCTTTATTTTCTTCTGGAGATATGTATGTTGTTTCTCTCATTAACTGGGAAAAAAGAGAAAGGCAGGGCGGTGGGGTTTGGTTTGGAAATTTGTATTCCTTTGTAACATTTTCTATGTTCTTAAAATGGCATCATCTTTGAACCTGTTTAGGTTTTCTTGATGGACCCTTGGTGGAACCCAGCTGTGGAGCGCCAAGCACAAGATAGAATTCACCGTATAGGCCAATGTAAACCAATAAGGTTGCGCTTCTCCCTTTTCATCCTTAAAGATCCTAACAAACATTTGTCTAAGTGGGACTAATGCATCCATCTGCGATATAGGGTTGTGAGATTTGTTATTGAGAACACAATAGAGGAGAGGATTTTAAAGCTGCAAGAAAAGAAGGAATTAGTATTTGAAGGGTATGAATTATTTTTATTGTAAAACCAGCTTTACTTTCTCAATATACAACATTTTGGTCAATTTGATGAATGCTGGAGTGCCTTTTTATGTTTTTAGGACTGTGGGTGGCTCCTCAGAGGCTCTAGGAAAACTGACTGAGGCGGACATGAGATTTCTATTTGTCACTTGAGTTGGGTTGTCCCTAAAAGTAAGCAATGTTCTTTTGTTACGGTTGTAAACATCCAACTCCTTGTTTCTGTGTTGGACTTGCATGGCACTTGGGTTTGTTTTACTTTTGGAATTAACTGGCGAATTCGATAAGTGCCATAAGTAGTTGATCTCAATAATTGCCGAATTTTTGGGTTTGTTTTACTAACCAAATTCACATGCATTCTCTCTCTCTCTCTAGAGGATGCATTCTGCCTCTCTTTAAGAAAAAAAAAAGAACTCATACATTAATCATAACTTCATAAAACATTTAATCAATTACCTTTATACTGTTTGTGAGGAAACAAAATATCCGACTGGCAAAATAATTTATCAAGGTATAACTCCCACATTCAAATCAAATAGTGGAGCGTTGCATGGTTGCAATTTGCAAGGTTTGTTCGGTCAGCGAGACTATATTGAGAGTAGTGTTTTCTTTTGACCTGGACAAGTATAAACCACGCCTGGAAAGAATTTCTCCCAGCTATTTACTGGTTAAAGCAGGTATAAATTAAATCAGGCAAATTCGGTTTTTATTCATTTCCTTTAGTTAGGCCCCGCATGTTAGTAAAGAAACAGACGAGGTCAAGGGAAGCGGTATTGAAATGAGGACACATTTTTTTCTTTAATTAAGATAACATTACTGCAGCTGCGCAGAAGCAGTACAGCTCATGTGCAGTCAGTGGTTTCTGCTTAGAAAAAAAAGGGTCGTTAACTCATTTTGACTCATCAGATAGCATCTTTGACAGGACTGGGCTCTGTACCAAGTATTTCATTGCAAGAATCCTTTCAACTCTATCCTCTCTATCCCCACCGACAAATCCTCCAGCTCTAAAGCAAAAGATAAAAGAGAACAACTAAAGTAAAAGAGTAATAGATGCTCGTAGATAAAATAAATAAAAGAGGAAGCAGGCACACAGATTGGGAGTGTTCTTTTCCTGCCAATTTCAAATATCCCATTTTCTCAATTCTTCTCAAAATCCCCCTGGACTTGTTGGAAAGGGAATTAAAAAAAAATGGGAGATTATAAGGGAGTAAGAGTCTGCTGTTTTATGTTGGTGATGCTGCTTGTGAGCTGCACCAATGGAGAAGACCCATACAGGTTCTATACTTGGAATGTCACCTATGGTGATATCTATCCTCTTGGAGTGAAACAACAGGTTCCTTATTACTTTTTCTTGTTAATTTCCATTTCTCAAATTTATTGGTCTGATAGAAATGCTGAAGTTCGGATATATGTACATGTTATGGCAGGGGATATTGATAAACGGCCAATTTCCGGGGCCGCAAATTGAATCAGTGACCAACGAGAACTTGATCGTTAATGTTTTCAATAGCTTGGATCAACCCTTTCTAGTCTCTTGGTTGGTTCCTAGATCTATTTTATTATCTGTAAGCAATGTTGCACTGCACAACAGCCAACGGTGCGGCTTGTCCCTTTGTTTTTTTTTTTCCAATCCTCTGTCGTAAATCTCTCTAAAAGAAGGGATATAAGTAGTAATTAATTACACTGACTACTTACATGCATGCAAAAGGTGCATTTCTATTTACTGATGTGTCGTGGTATTGTTATTGGGGAAAACTACACACTTTTAAGGCTTTATTCTGACAAATTAGCCCATGGAGTTGGGTTGGACCATTATTCAGCCTGGCCCAGTTCATGATTGTTTTCTCATATAGTAATGCTCTTATTTTGTTCTTTTCATCTGCCTATATTGAATCGTGTGTGAATGGGAACAGAAAGTAGATGCTTACGACTTTTGTGATTATTTGGTGAACCATGACTGTAACACAGTTTGAACTGTAAGATTGAACTTGGTGGTTGATACCCTATAATTATTGTCCAGGAATGGCGTGCAACAAAGAAGAAATTCATGGCAGGACGGAGTAGACGGTACCAACTGCCCCATCCCTCCTGGGGGGAACTTCACCTACACCCTTCAGGTGAAGGATCAGATTGGCAGCTACTTTTACTTTCCATCGCTTGCCTTACATAAGGCTGCAGGAGGATATGGTGGCTTCAGGATTTTTAGCCGCTCTGTTATTCCTGTCCCTTTCCCCCCTCCTGCCGCTGATTACACTATTTTGGCAGGTGACTGGTACAAGAAAAGCCACACCGTGAGTTTAAATTCTATTGCTCTTTCGCTACTTCAAATTGTACATTAGTAACTAGTCTAGCAAGAAGGTGCACAAATTATAAAAAAAGGGTTAATTACACATTTAATTTTTGAATTATGACCAAAATTCTCAATTTGGTATCTAAGCTTTTAAAAAACTCACGAACTTTACTTCCGTTCATCAATTTTCTCAAGAAACTAGTATCATTAATCAAACAAATGACATGTAAAAAAAACCCAATAAAACACGCCAAGTGTCTCAAAATGCCATGTCAAAAGACCATATATTGTAATTTTGTTGGATGTTTTAGACATGCGGTTTACTTGACTAACAATGTTTAATTTCGTGTGCAAATTGAATTAATAGATAAAAGCAAAGCTTGATACTGATTATGAATTTTTAAATTATAAGTATCAAATTGAGAATTTGATTATAATTCGGATATCAAAAGTATAATTATAGAAGAACATAAAAGATGCATGTCGTATTTATCAGCTCGTTGCTTTGCTTCGAACTCTACAGGACTTGAAAGCAATTTTAGATAGCGGTAAGGATCTTCCCTTCCCCGATGGCCTACTTATCAATGGTCGTGGTGCAAATGGATATACATTCTTCGTTGATCAAGGTAAGCAATCATAACAACTTCATTAAGTTTCAGATTTGTGCTGGTCCTGGAACTTATAGAATGATTCTCTAAATTGTGAACAGGCAAGACATGCAGGTTTCGCATATCCAATGTTGGGATTACAACATCCATTAATTTCAGAATCCAGGGGCACAAGTTGCTGTTAGTAGAGGTTGAAGGAACTCACACGCTACAGAACACTTATGATTCCCTTGATATTCACTTGGGGCAGTCCTACTCTGTGTTGGTTACTGCTAATCAACCGGCGAAAGATTACTACATTGTTGCCTCAACCCGTTTCACCTCCAAGGTGCTCGCCACAACTGCAATTCTTCATTATAGTAACTCAGCGGGAACCGTTTCCGGTCCTTCTCCTGGAGGACCAACTACTCAAATTGATTGGTCTCTTGAACAAGCCCGATCAATCAGGTATTTTACCAATTCCAGTTCTTTTTCTTTTCAACAATTGCATTACATCCAGGCAATACAGCAATGGAGTTGTTAGTCTCTGTCTCACAGGTAATTCCTCTTTTGCTATTGAGTTCCTTGGCTGCATATGGCAAAATTATCCTTTCTTCTGGAGACAGTATTATTATACTTAACCATATGATCTCTTCAGTTTTGGTAGTACAACAAGTTCATCTATTGAATACTTGTTTATGCTAATCAGAAGTTCTCTCATCAATTTTCTTATGCTATATATCAAACTAGGCGGAATCTCACAGCTAGTGGACCAAGACCTAATCCACAAGGCTCATACCACTATGGACTGATCAACACCACGCATACAATTAGACTAGCAAGCTCTGCTTTTATTATCAATGGTAAGAAGAGGTATGCTGTCAATAGTGTTTCCTTCATCCCAGCTGACACCCCACTTAAACTTGCCGACTACTTCAACATCTCTGGAGTATTTTCCCTTGGAAGCATTCCAGATGGTCCAACTGGAGGTGGCCCCCACCTCCAAACTTCTATCCTGGCTGCTGGTTTTAGAGGTTATGCCGAGATTGTTTTTGAGAATCCAGAAGACACTGTGCAATCGTGGCACATTGACGGTCACAACTTCTTTGTTGTGGGGTATGTGTTTTTTTAGCTCAGTAATCGTAATTTTGCATAATTGAACTGCTGATTTTACTCCATCCATGTAATGGGCTTATTTTCTGAGTGTTACACGTACTGAGATTCTATAAGCAAACTTGTTTTGGAATGTTCCGAGGGCTAAAATCATCTTTATATTCCAGACCTGTAAACGTTTACATTTTGGGTGTTGCAGGATGGATGGGGGGCAGTGGACGCCTGCAAGCAGGTTAACTTACAACTTGAGAGACACAATTTCCCGTTGCACTGTTCAGGTAAAGTAACAATGTAAAATTAACTTTTGAAAATATGTAAACTGTACTTGTTTTTTATTTTCCGTGACTCTGAAAATAGAATTGGAAAATCATCCATCAGTTTCTTATTGCTATAAATATTAACAACCACTGTTTACTTTTTTCCCTTTCACCTAAGGCTCCAAGATAAGACACACATAGTTTTGCTGTAAAAGAGTATTCTCAAGTTGTACCATTCTTGACCTGATCATGTAAACTAAACACAGGTGTATCCAAAGTCATGGACCGCAGTTTACATGCCTCTGGATAACGTAGGGATGTGGAACGTAAGGTCTGAGAACTGGGCTCGGCAATACCTGGGCCAGCAATTCTATCTCCGCGTATTCTCCGCTGCAAATTCATGGAGGGATGAAAATCCAATCCCCAGGAATGCTCTTCTATGCGGTCGGGCGGTAGGGCGACGCTACCGAAGCAAAAATGATTAAGAGACTGTCAAACTCATGAGTGGGCAGTAGGTTGACCCGAGGAGAAGATGTCTGCAGACTATACTGTTAACAGTGCTCTAATAATTGCTTAAGGCTTAACTCCAGCCATGTTCCTTTATTCTTTACTTTGTTTTAATAGATTGTATGTTGTCATTAGAGAAATGACTATCTTTTTCTTATGTGAATTTAAAACAACCTAGAGTTCTAATCAAAACGTTTGTTATGTTTGTACATAATTTATAAATTCATTTATAATATATTAGAAAAATATGATTTTTAATTGATTCAACATTAAATTGAATGAGTCAAATGTTGAACTATATATACCTAAAACGTTAAATGGGTTATGATATATATAGCCGTGAATAAAGTCACGACATATGGATGGAGTAATTAAGTAGAAAAAAAGGATGGTTATGAGTTTCAATGAGGACTCTGCAATTGCGTTGTTAGAAGTTAATTTCCGCACCCAATTCGAATAACTAAGTAGGGACTACATTAGAGGCGGCGAGGCGGAGTTGACTACCTTTATAGTAACAAGTTGCTCTCTAAATATAATTAAGATCGATTGGATATGCATGCAGAGGCGATCATCGGTCAATCGGCTAGAAGCAACCTGCTGCATTATATCCAAATTCAAGTGCAAGTAGTCCGTCCTCGTGGACTTTGGTAGTTTTTAATGTTACCGCCACTACCCTAACGCCTCCAACGCGTCACATTAACATAAACATGCACCGATGCATACCAATTAATAGCAATGCCTGCGGATCAATATCAACGCTATATATATTTATGTATATATAACCTCCCTTGTTAAACAAGCAAGAGCAAGCTGGGGATCTGATCAGCTACCAGACGTACCAAAAAGAAAGAAATTAAGAAACAACAACAACAAAAATGGCCTTGCCTATCTCTGCAAAATGCTTTGCTTTCATTCTCCTCTTTTTCTACATTGTGCTTCATATTAGCACAATTGCTGTTGCTGAAGACAAGCTCGACGAAGCTAGATTTCAAGGTGACGATTGTCGATGGGGTCGAAGGCATTGTGCTGGCCACTTTGGTGGTTATGGCCCTTCATTTGGTGGTGGACGCGGAGGCTTTGGTGAGGGTAGAGGTGTTGGACTTGGAGGAGGTGGAGGCCTTGGTGGGGGTGGAGGTGGTTCAGGTCATGGCGGGGGATTTGGTGCAGGAGGTGAAGTAGGAGTTAGTGTTCAGGGTGGCAGGAGTTTTGGTAGTGGTGGTGGTGGAGGTGGAGGTGTTGAGAATGGTTCAGGCCAAGTTGGAGGTTTTGGAGTTAGTGGTGGTGTGGGTGGTGGAGCTACAGGAAAGGTGGTAGCGGTGGAGGAGGAAGAGGTGGAGGTGGGGTTGGTAGTGGTTTAGGCCATGGTGGGGGCTTTGGAGTTGGAGGTGGTGTAGGTGGCGGAATTAGTGGTGCGGCTGGAGGTGGAGGGGGTGAAAAAGGTAGGGGTGGTGTAGGTGGAGGCTCCGATCATGGAGGTGGATTTGGAGCAAGTGAGGGCATAAAGAGGTGGAGCTAATGGTGGTGTTGGTGGCGAGGAAAGAGGAGGAGGAGGTGGGAGTGGTGTTGGTTGAGGCTCTGGACATGGAGGTGGATTTGGAGCAGGTGGAGGCATAAAAGGTGGAGCTAATGGTGCTGGTGGTGGAAGTGGTGGCAATAGAGGATCCGGTGGTGAGGTAAACGGTAGTCGAGGAGTAAGTAATGTTGGTGGTGGAGTTGGAGTTGGAATTGGAATAGGTATCGGAGTTAGGGTTGGTGCTGTTGAGAACAGTGACTCAAATTTCATAACTGATTTATTTGAGATTGGTTAGATATTATTTTATGGATAAAAAAATTTACAGAAGAAGAATTTTAAGAAAAAATAAATTCTTAATAAATAAGTTTGATTTGTAGAAAAAAATTTTAAAAGTAAAAAGATTTTTAATAAGCAAGTTTGTATACTTATAAATAAGCTAAATCTTTATACGGTTATGTACACAAAAAAGATGTAAAAAAATTATAAGGTTTTATGGAATAGACTACATCTTATAGGTGTGTATGTTTGTGAGTGGATTAAAGGAAATTGAAAGGGTCCAATAGATATGGATGCATGAGAGTATATGGATTTGTATTTATTTAGATTGAGAATACTTAATAGGACTAAAAAAGATTGAGAGTATCTATGAATATTGATGTAACTAATATGATTTATTGTATATTTGTAATTCTTTACAGCTAGTGAATCTTTTTTTTCATCTGTAAACACAGATCGGTTGATCGAACTATGTTAAATTGTTGTCTCTTATATGATTGATTGATTGTTTGATTTCGCTTCTGCTAATGTGATTGGATTGAAACTTTTTGTCTAACAAGTGATATCAGAGCTGTGGTGATTCTTAATAAATTGTATCAAAGCATGATTCGAGGTAAGAAAAGAGGTAAGCCCATAGGAGCTTGATTCAAAAAAAGAATTCGAGTTCATATTTCGAGGATTAAAGATTGGCTTGCATGAAATGTGAAGATACACAAGAGAAGATAATTGTGAGACTTTCATTATAAGTAGAACCAAATATGTCTAGCATGAAGACAGATTATTTGATGTAATTTAAGTCAATGTGAAGATTGTTGAAAATAATGACTCAAATCTTATAATAGATTTGTTTGGAATTGACTAGATATTACTTGATGGATAAAAAGACTTGTAAAAAAAGAATTTTTAGAGAAAAGAGATTCTTAATAAGCAAATTTGATTTACGAAAAATAATTTTAAGAGAAAAAATATTTTTAATAGGTAAATTTGTATAAATAGGTAAAGTTTTTACAGAGTTATGTATGAGAAAAAAATATAAGAGAGTTGTAAGATTTTATGTATGAGAAAAAAATTATTAGAGATTCACATTTTATAAGTGTGTATATTTGTAAGTGGACTAAAGAAAACTAAAATAATCAACATAGATATATGAGCATGATTGTATATGAGTTTATGTTTATTTGAATTGAAAATACTCAATAAGACGAAAGAAGATTGAGAGTAATAGATATTGATGTGACTGATATAATTTATTTTATGTTTGTAAAAAAAATCATCCAAGTTTTAATATGAATAATTAAGATTTAAAATTTGATAATTTCCTTATTAAAAAGGCATTTATTTAATAAACCAATGGACCAAAGCAAAGTTTTAGTATTTAATGGCTGTAAAATTTTAAATTTTAAATAACAAATTTAAATATCAAATAATTAAATCTTAAAAGCAAGCAAAGAAAAAAAAAACTGCAACGGGAACAATAAAAATAACAATAGTGATTCATCATTGGGAAAACGAGAGGGTGGCATTTAGGCTCAGTAAGTGGGGGCTTTCCCCTCCACACAGACCCAAACCCAACAACTAGGAATTATCCTACTCTACTCTGCTTCTCTTTTTTGCCACACGATATTTTCTTCACTTAATCCCAACTCTTCTTTGAGCCCAAGAAACCATGGTCATTACCTTCTCTCCTTGTGCTTGTCCACCTTCTTCTTCCTCCTCCTCTTATTTCCTTAACAGATTATCCAATTCGAGGTCACCTTACTTGGATTTCCCGTTAAGGTCCAGAACCCACCTCTTCAAATCTCGTTCTTCGTCTTTTTCTGACTCTTCTTCCTCCTCAAGCAAGACCAAGTTTTTGTATCCTCCTGCCAAAAGGGTTGATTTCAGGTCATGTGCTCTTCCTGGATTTGATTTTGGGAGTGTTGAATCTGTGTTGGAAGCAGCTGGCGTCTTGACTGCCATCATTGTTGTTCATGAGAGCGGTCACTTCCTCGCTGCTTCTCTCCAGGGAATCCATGTAAGTAAATTTGCTGTTGGTTTTGGTCCAATTTTAGCAAAGTTCAATGCCAACAATGTAGAATATTCTGTTAGAGCTTTCCCATTAGGTGGATTTGTGGGGTTCCCTGATAATGATCCGGACAGTGATATTCCTGATGACGATGAGAATTTGCTTAAGAACAGACCCATTTTAGATAGGGTTGTCGTCATTTCGGCTGGTGTTGTCGCCAATATCATTTTTGCCTACGCAATAATATTCACTCAAGTCTTGACAGTTGGGTTACCAGTGCAAGAGGCATTCTCCGGGGTTCTTGTTCCTGAGGTTAGAACCTTTTCAGCTGCTTCCAGGGATGGCCTTCTTCCCGGTGATGTCATCCTTGCTATTAATGGTATTGAATTGCCAAAAACTGGGCCTCTTGTAGTTTCTCAAGTCGTTGATATTATAAAGAAAAATCCTAAAAGAAATGTGTTCCTCAAGGTTGAGAGGGGAAAGCAGGATTTTGAAATTGGGGTCACTCCAGACGAAAATCTCGATGGAACAGGAAAAATTGGAGTTCAATTATCACCAAATGTGAGAATAACTAAATTGAGACCAAATAATATCCTTCAGGCCTTAAATTATGCTGGAAAAGAATTCGGGGGTCTCTTATATAATGTTTTGGATAGCTTGAAGCAGACTTTTATGAATTTCTCACAATCAGCTAGCAAAGTTTCAGGTCCTGTAGCTATTATCGCTGTTGGTGCTGAAGTTGCAAGGTCAACTGTGGATGGGCTTTATGAGTTTGCAGCTCTCCTAAATCTTAATCTTGCAGTCATAAACCTTCTCCCTTTACCTGCTCTGGATGGGGGTTCACTGGCCCTGATACTTTTAGAAGCAGCTAGAGGCGGAAGGAAGCTTCCTCTAGAATTGGAGCAGCGGATTATGTCATCTGGTATCATGTTTGTTATACTCCTCGGGTTGTTTCTTATTATCAGAGACACACTTAACCTTGAGTTCATTAAAGATATGTTATGATTATCAATGCTTTTGAAGTTTGGATGCAATGTGGATTGAAAAGACCTTGTTAAAAAGATGGAATCAGATGATTTCAATGCATGCCTATAATGTCTCGTAAAGAAGATGAATTGGTTTATAAGATGCTTGCGTAATACTTGCTTCCGCAAAAGATGCTATATTGCAGGTTCTTGTAATTTCTTGGTCTTATTTAATTCCATCCAAATTTCTATATTCCTCATACTGTTGTAAACTAAAAATTCTTTGAAGATAGTAACGATAGAGAATGGGTAATGGACTTCAATACCTTGTTTCAGCAAATGATAATTCATGATAATGTTGACATTTTCTAATATAATTTCATGTTATGAGTAGGAATTCTGTCTTGAATTGACATCTTGTATGTGCTGTTGCCTGCTGGTCATTTGAGTTCAAGAAGAAAGATATGCCCATGTTTTCACCAACTTCCTTTTATGCCATTTCTTTTCTTAAAAACTTTTTAAATTCATTGAATACTATCAGTTCATATAACCTATCAATTGTCCACCTTGCTGTCTTTGTTGGAGCAAGTTTCCCCAAATTCCGAGGAAGGATAGAAATTTGATGCTTATCATTGGAAGCCATTTAAGTTGCAATGGGAGTATGTATTTATAAGTTTTCGGTTACTAATGGGAGAATTGGTGCATGCTGTTGAAAGGCAAGTATGGTGGAGTATTTAGAAACTTTCGGCTGGTAATGGGAGAATTGATAGATACTGTTGAAAGACAAGTATGCTGGGAACTTGAAATTTGAGGGGTCACAATGAAAAGAGGTAGTAATCTATTTGGATGAATTACAATTGATGACCTTTTTGTGGTAATCATGAAATTAATTTCTTTTTCTGTTTTATGATTTCCATCAACTCTGATAGAGAGGACTTAGTGCAGCTTATTTCTTTCTTTTTTATTTTTTATTTTTCAATTTCCACCTTCTGCATTGATAAAAAGACTAGAAAAAGGTGATACTTTACCTGAAGTTCTACAATTGATGCAATAAAGCTTGTATTAGTGCAAGAAAGTAGATTCTAACATATAGGATGAGAGCCACGAAGATTCAAATGCAGCAGTTATATAATTCCTGGTACTTAATTAGCTTTATTTTTGTTTTTGAGCACACTTCTGTTATTTCAAGTGTTTATGCCATTTTAGGAAATTTAAGTTATTTATACTAATTAGTTTGTTTTTATACTTTTTATCACGTGTGATATTAGGAAGTAGTTTATAAAATACCTATGATAGTTCAGTTGTAGTGATTTTGGATTATTAAGATATTATTATTTGGGAATAAAGAGTTGACATTTCCCAGTTAATTCTCTTCAACTGGTCCTGTTCTTTTCCTACTCCCTCAGCTTCTCCTGATATCTCTGTTTCCCTCCGACGTTCTACATCAGTGCAAGGTTACATTTTGTAGTGACGATGTAGGATATAATTTTGGTGTTGGCTTGCAAAATGAGAGCATAAATGATCTAGAATTCTGACCTCAATGTGATAAGAATGCAAGATTTAGGAATCAAATCATGTGCGGTTCTGATCATTCATGCTAATAATATGTCCTAATCTATTATGACTTGGAATTATTCACATCAGTATAATTAGAAGAATCTTTATTAATATTGAGAACATACCCATTCTCTTATTTATGCAACAAATATTTCAAATCCGTCTCCATCCATATTATCATGGAGATTTAATAAGAGGAATTTCTGTACTCATAACTCTTAGAAAAACAAATTTTATTTTTGGCTTTTATTTTTATGTTGTACATTTATATATTTTTTTATAAATATATTTTTTTAAAATAAAATATATTAGATCTAACTAATCTAAAATAAAAATTTATATTATAAAATAAAAATTTATTTGCTCAATATATATATATATATATATATATGCAAAGTACAGGGTGTTATATTATGTATTTCAGATAAAAATTTTAAAATCTTACTCATGCAGATTCTATCTTCAAATTTAATACTTATCCACATCTTGATTGAAAGAAAAAAAAAATCAAATTATCTAATGAATTTAAATAAAATTAACATTCCTATTTATAAGAGGATATAAACTTGAGACCAACTAATTAATACTACTAAAGATGTAAACCTGTGGGAAAAGAATATTTTAAATGTCTTAAATTTATTTTTAAATTGTAAAACTTATATGTGAAATTGAATTTGGTCAAAATGAATACTAGATTAAATGGAAATTGATTAATTATCTAATATTGGTGGGTTAATACATATTGTTTTTATGGAAATAAAATGAAAGCCTGAAATTAAGGAAGCAATTTTAAAGATGAATAATACAAAAGAATTTAATAATTTAGAGTAGCGTTTCTAAAAATGGCTTTCTCATATATATAAATAAAAGTATTTATATCATTAGCGATCTCATAATCAAAATAAATATTTAGAGCTAGTACATACTAAAGACACTCTTGCTTTTAGGAGAGTTGAGTTAAAACATGAAGTTAATATCGATGTTGAATGGTGCAAATTAAATATAAAATAATATATTTGTTGATGCGAATTGTGATAGTGATGAAAATAAGTATTTTTGGTAAGTAATGGATTAAGGAAAAAAAAAAAAAAACAAATAGGAAGCATAGGGATCCAGAAGCAGAATTGCAAAAGGAAAGAAAATAGAAAAGAAAACGCATATAGTATTAGAGACGTAGCACAAAGCATACAAAGTGGAGCGAAATCAAAGCTCGTACCAAAGGCAATGGGTAATGGACAATGCTTTTGTGTTTTTTGTTGTCTGCATAGCCCCAAAACCTGCTTCTGTTATGCCCTCTTTCTCTCTTTTCCACACACTAACTTAATTTCTACTTTTGGTCTTCCGCTTGCTCTGAAATCAATCTAATTCTAATATTTTTATCTCTCTACATTTGTCTTTCTCTCTTTAAATCTATACTTTCTATTTTGTTACTTAATTTCTCCAAATAATAGTAAAATACAACACCAAACAAGTTAATCAGAAAGAATAATAAACAATAATAATTATTATGATATGCACATACAAAGACAATTGAAGAAGTAATTAATTTCTTCCTTTTTTTTCTCTCCACCGCTTCCCTCATCTTGAGACTTGAGAGAGGAGAGAACTCTCGAACATACAAATTACAAATATTAAACATAGTGATATTCTCTACTTTAATGATTACGTAAAACAATTAAGCATTTATTGTTTAAACTAAACAATTATAATAACAAGACCATGGGAATAATGGATTAAATGTGGACAACCAAACTGATGATTAGGTCTTATACAGAAGAATATACAATGCATTAATAGAGCAACTCCAAGCGGATAAGAAAAGTAATATTCACAAAGGAATTTGCACGAAACAAATCACGGGGTGCACGCTTTGTGCACGAAACAACGAAAAGGTAAGAAACAAGGAAAAGGTACGCAATAATGGGGACCAGAAGGAGGAACAGAGGGTAGTCTCCAAACTGACATGAAATAGGTTGGCAACAGAAGTAAGGATACAAACAAGTGGAAAAACTGAGATAGGGAAAAAGAAGAATATGGACTGCGTACTAGATATGGATGTTGAAAAGGAACAAATACAAGGAGGAGGAGGAGGTGAGACAGGACTATCATGATGGAATGGCGGTGACTAGCTTCCAGTCTTGCCGAATGCAATGAGGTCTCTAGCCTGGAACTGCCTTGGGCTTGGGAACTTATGCGTAGTTCATGATTTTCAAAATATTCTAAAGAAAGAACATCTCGAACTAGTTTTCCTATTAGAAATCGTGTCAAAGGAATATTGATAGGCTATGAAGCTCATGCCAATATAGTGGAATGTTTACGGTAGATGTAGTGGGTAAGAGTGGGATTTAAGTATGCTATGGCGAGCGGAAGTTAAATGTCACTGAGAAGTTCTTCTTATCTTAAGTATATGGGGTCATGGGGTGGTGGATGCCATTGACAATAGTAGGCATAATGCATGAGATATGCTGAAAAGATTAAGTCATCAAAATTTTCAGGCGTGGCTTTGCATGGGGGATTTTAACGAGATTTTATGGGACAAGGAGAAAGTTGGGATAAGTGAGACCAGTAGTACAAATGGAGGCATTTTGAAAGGTATTGGAAGATGTCAAGCTCCATGACTTGAGTTACATAGGATTTTACATGGTGCAAGGGCAGAATAATGGAGAAAAAGATTCAAGAAAAGTTGGATCCATCGTTAAGAATAAGGATTGAATGAATAGTTTCCTCGATTTCATGGAACGGCACCTAACCAGCTTTACTTCGGACCATTGTCCAAATTTAATCGACAGAACAGAGGCTAAGCAAAATAGATGGAACCGGTCATCAAGGAGAAGAAAATACTTTGAAGTCGCGTAGCTTATCAAATCCGATTGCATGGATATCGTGGATAAAAAGTGGACTAATAAGGATTACATAGATTTGAGAAGTAAGCTGCATAAAACCCTAGCCAAGCTTCATGATTGGTATGCAACAAATTCCAGATTTTAAAGCAATGTATACATGAGTTACGTGAACAAGTGGTGCATCAAAGGACTATTGATGATGCTGATTTAAGCAAGGTGAATAAGCTTAAAGGGTGCCTTAACGATTTGCTTGATCGAGAAGAATTAGTTTGGAAATAGAAATCTCGGGTTAATTGGTTGAAGGATGGGGGTAAAAATATATGATTCTTCCATGCATAGGCATCTCAATGTAAAAGAGTGAATAAATTGACTAGAGTAAAATATGAGAATGGGGTTTGGCATGAAGGAGAACATGAAGTGGCTGAACAAGCAGTAAGATACTTTTAAAATATTTTTAAGTCTTAAGGACCATCAGATCTATCTCATTTCCTAGGATTAATTACTCATTGTGTCACTAAGATGAATGGGTCTCTCCTATCAAAGTTCACAACCAATGAGATTCAAGAAGCGATCAAACAGATTCATCCTACCAAAACTTTGGGACCTGACAGTATTCATGTATTATTTTACCATAAATTTTGACATATTGTAGGACCTGAAGTTATTAATTTCTGTTTAGATTTTTTGAATGGAACTGGTAGCCTGGATAGTATTAATGAAACCCATATTGTCCTCATCCCCAAAGCTAGTAGTCCTAGGAAAATGACCCAGTATAGACTAATCAGCTTGTGCGATCGAAATGACAAAGAGGTTGTTTGGGATCCAGTCCACTTCTAATCCGAATACGTATCTTGGGCTGCCTATGTTCATTAAGAGAAGAAAGAAAAGGGCTTTGATGGAGGTTTTGGAGAAAATGAATAGGAAAATAAACATAAGAGTCACAGATGACTATCAACTAGAGGAAAAGAAGGGTTTATCAAAGCGATTCTACAATCTATGTTCAAATATGCTATGTCTTGTTTTCTATTCCCGAAGAGCCTATGCCATGAGATCAACATAATTATTAGTAAGTTTTGGTGGCGGCACTTACGGAAAAAAGGAGAATCCACTAGATGAGTTGGAGGAAACTATGTACAAGGAAAGACGAGGGTAAAATGGGCTTTAGAGACATGAGTTTGTTCAACAAGGCTTTTATTGCAAAACTAAGATAGAGACTCGTGCAGAATCCTTGCTCACTTGTTCACAATGTGCTAAAAGTCAGGTATTTCCCTAGAATTAATTTTTTTGATGTAGAATTTAAGAGAGCACCTTCCTATACTTGGAGAAGCATTTGGCAGGGAATTGCTGTCCTGAACCTTAGCTTGAGGTGGCTTGTGGGAAATGAGAAAAGAATCAAGATTTGGCATGATAAGTGATCCCAATAGT